GAGAGGGAAAGACTCATGTTTACTTATTGATTGCTGCACATTGAGTTTTCCATTTTCTTTTTTCTTTTTCAGAATTGTCAAACATTTAACAGTCTTAGCACCACAGTCGATGACTGCCCTCAGCAGAATCAGTTCTCCCTTGGCACCAGCAGCAATAACTCATGGACCACGAACTTGGACGTCATGCCTGGCAGGACACCAGCCTGCACCCCTGTGCCAGAACCCCATTCAAATGCAGAAGAATGTCAGCCTAACAAAGAAGAAGATTTCTCTTATGAGGAGTCAGAGTTCTGTGCTACAGAAGATGAGAATAGTAGGAAAGAAGTTGAAAACTCCTCATGGAGGAACAGTGGGACAGGTGGGGATAACATCTTTCAGTTGGGTGGTGAATTAGATATTGAGCAAATAGAAAACAACTGAGAGCACTAATGGGGAGGATCTGCCTGCATCAAGGCTTTTTAACAGTGGCAAAATCTCACATGTTAATGCAGACCAGAGAAGAAAATCCACATTCTCCCTCTCCTTGGCAGGTGGGGCAGGACAAAAAGCTTTGCCAAAATTGATTTAGGTTTCTTTGGGACTCACTAGAACTACTGTAGCTCTTCATAGAGAAAACTTCCAACTTCCATCAACATATTTAAAAGAAAAATAAAGCTTTGTGGATGTATTAAAACTTGAAAGACCAGAAATTTCTGGTCATTTTTTTGACAAAATAGGTAACTTGCCGCCTAGAGAGTCAGCAGGTCCATCCCCTGATGGAAATGGCGTTTGATAATATGTGGAATATAAATAAGCTTTTTTTTTTTTTTTTTGCTGTTGGCTGATATAAATTGCACCTCAGCTGTCCTTATCAAAGGAGCAAAAGGTGGAGATTAGCATTATTATTTGAATTCATTTTCTGTTGTTGTTTTTAGATCACCTATCCATAGATCTTATTAAGTCTCACAAATCAAACTTCTCATAATATATGTAAAGTCATAATTCCCAGAATCACAGTAGTTTGTTATGGTCTGCAAACACACACACACACACACCAATAACAACATGAAAAGAAAGCACAATAGATTTTTACCTAGACTAGCAAAAGAGATCTGTGGGTGTCAAAATGCATCCTTAACTGAATCGAACATAAATGTATCATTTGCAATGCTTTCTTACCCATCTTCACCCAGACCAGATTTAACGGGTTAGATGTATACTTTGATGCGTGACCCCTAGTTCATGGTACTAATTCACAGGGATGTAGAGGACAGAGGCTATTGACCAGAGAAATAAAAGATTGAGAACATTTTTGCACTCTGAAATTTCAGTGAAATAATAAAATGATTTCATGATGTAAGACTAGATATAGAAAGGTAGCAAAAAATAATGAAGAAAAATGATTCTTGAGATTTAGTAGTTGGCATCTGAAAAGGGATCATGAATATCTTGGCTCTTATCTGTCATGAAGGTCTCTTAACTGCATTTGATACCATTTGGCATCTAGCCTATCACATTCATCAGTAGAAAAAACTAAAGGTAAAATCTTGTTTTTCATTCATTACTCAGTACTTAGGTATTTTCATTTTCTAAGTCTGAAAAGATAAAACAATATAAAGTATACAGTAATCCATTACTTCTAGCTTCAGTGAATGATAGTAGCACAATAGTGTGTACACATGGCACTGTTAAGTGGCCTGGACCTGATTACATATGACACTTTTTGCCACTGCTACTATGGAAGATGGGGATGAATATAATCCAAAGAGAAAGAGAAAATACGTCCAACAGAAACCCACTTCCCAGTTTCCCTAGTTCACAGTAGAAGAAATTAAACCCTAGTGACAAATACAGGCAACCAAATCTTTAAGAATGTATTACTATTGTCAAGAAAAGATCTGAGTGCATTCTTCAGCATTTCCATTAACTATGTCACATCAAGCACTGCTGTATGTTAGCATTGGGAAACCTACCTGTAGTTTCTAAAAGATACCTCTGTTGGATTCTTTATATTCCCCTTCCTTTTTAATGCCCCTGAGGATCTAGGCCAGTGTTTCTCAACCTCAGCAACTTTGATGTATGACTTCAACTCCCAGACTTGCCCAGCCAGCATGCTGGGAGTTGAAGTCCACACATCTTAAAGTTGCTAAGGTTGAGAAACACTTGTCTAGAGGACTAGCTCTGTTTTATTTTGACCTTGATTTGCCTTGCTTTTATGATGGGCTTTAGGTTTAGCATTTCATTGTGGAAGCAGTTTACATGGACCGACTTATGATAGTTACATTAAGCCTTGTGAGAAAGATGTCATTACTCATTTCCTGTGGTATTTACAGATTTTCTCAGGCTTCCATTTTATGTTCACACTGATTTTGCTGTTCTCATTCTCATCTTTCAATTCTTTATCCATCATATTACAAATGGTATCCCCAAATTTACTAGTCATCTTAGCATGCATCTTCAAAAGATGGAGCAAATAATCAAGCAGAACTAGGGCTCTGTCTTCTAAACACTGGAAATTTTGCTCAGCCAGAGCTTCAGATTCTGATTTTTCAAAGTACATCTATCAGTTTATTTCTAGAAGCAAGTGAATATGCAGAGGTGTGTGTGTGTGTGTGTGTATGATTTTTATGAAGTAAATCTTGATATTCAGGAGGCTAAATTTTATGGTCAGTACAAAACATAGAATAACATAGCCGTGATTAAATAGTGAACTTTCACACAAATGTAACAGACATGCACTCTTCTAAACTTGGTGAACTTTTGACTTGATTATCAAGATAGCAAGAATAACAGAATAATTCATTCAGTCGTAACACCAAGCCATGCTTTAGTAACAGGCAAGCAAGCCTTCACTGCCAAAGCATGCAAGTAAACCAGTTTGATGTGTAATCTAAACTACCAAAAATAGTATTTGCATTTTCCCGCCAAATTAGAATTATAATACATTATCAGTCTGTGGCTTGCAATTGTTATTTGGTTGGCAAGCACAAATCATAGTTTGCAGATTAGGAAACAATGACACATGATTTATCATGAAGGAGAATGGAATTCAATTTTCCTGGTGAACTGAGTGATTCTTGTATTTTATATTTCATTCTAAGGAAACTTGATCATATAGACATTTAAACAGTGACAGATACATCGCAATAGGTAATGTGAAGAGTTTTAGACTGCATCTATTCATTACTCTGCTTGACTTTCCATTATTTTGCTGGAATATGGGTGTAATCGCCAAGATGTTCAATGCATATTTCAAAATAGCCTTTCTCAGCTTAGTATCCTCTAGATGCATTGGGGTTACAACTCTCTGGATGCAAAGCCAGCATAGTCTAAGTTATATGGATGACAGAGGGGCTGGGTTTTTGCCATAACAAAACTAATATAAAATGCAGTTTGAGATGCTAATGTTCACTTGACACTCCAGCATTTTCCCTTCCACCTCTTACTGCTTATGGTGAACAACCAACATTTATAATTTAGCACATAATAACACAACTAAGCTGTTCACTTATGAATGGAAACAAGTGCTTTCTTTATGAAAGGAAAAAATAATAGAGATTATTTCTTAAAAAGATATTCTATTTTTCTGCAGTGGGATTAATGGTTATGGCATCTAAAATCACAGATCTCATCCAGGCTAAAGCATTACAATTGTTCATTTAAACTGCATACAGTACATTTTGTTTGTCCACATGTTAATTTCTGTTATTTTCTCTCTGAAGCTCATGTGACATATAAGCCATATGTGTGTGTGTATATATACAGACACACAAATGAAAATAAAAATAGTATTATGCTGGAGTTTTATTTACATTTTGGTGCCATGAAATAACTTGGTGAAGTACGTCTTTAAGAAAAGACTATTTCCATGCTTGCAAAATCTGTTGATTGCAGACCAAGTTAACATACATTGTTTGTTTCAGAAACAGATAGAGAAATTTTGTAATGGGCAAGTTTTCATATAGATGAGTTGGAATTAGTTTTTGTTTTGTTCTTACAATGTGGGCTGAATTAGTTACTTTTAGATCTCACTGTGGGCTATCAGCAACATGACAGATCTGGAAGTCTTCCTCCTCCTGTATGTCTCTTGTAAAACTTCTTTCTGCTTTTGACCCTTTCCTACAGAATTTACCAGGTAATGGTAGTGGCTTTAATGATGTCGCAATTTTACTATGAACTCTGAATGTTAGGAGCTCTGAGAAAATCTTCTATCTTGGCAATAGCAGTATCAACTCCACCTGCTCCCGGTACATTGTACTCATGTCAATGTGTCTGGCTTCATCATGGGCACTAAGCCCTTAAAAATTGTAATTATACCAGCCTTCTCTAATTGCTGTAGGTCTTGGTTTTCACAATACCATATTCCAGTCCTTCCGCCAGTTTTTGGTGTAAAGATGAAAGAATGGTTGGTGTGTTATATGTGTTTAACTGATTCTAAGCCAAGTCTAAACTTTGGAAAGACTTGGCTTTAGCTTATTGATCACTTGAAAGTTAGGAGTACCAATTTTTCCAGAGCAAAATTCTCTGCTTCCAGACTTCAGCTGCGTAAGTACTGACTGTGGCTTGCTAAAGTTAATCCTTCCTGATCAAAAGAAAGCTCGTAAGCCACATTGAAGGAAGATGGCTTGGCAGCTAAGCACACTGAAAAGGGGATTTTTTTTTTCCCCTGAGTTTTGCCCTGCTACAAAAGTATTAAGACATTTTGGTGTTCTACTTTAGGAGCTGGAACTTCTGTAGCCTGAACCCAAGGATATTGCTGCTGCCTTTCACAACACCACTCCAAGGAATCACATTTCCTTCTTGGGAATTTCTTCCTGCGTGGAAGATATGGAGAAAGAGTGGGTGTTATAGTGGAATGAATGGCAGAGGAGTTGGATAATGCAGTATTTTGTGATAAATGAGAAAGAATAAAATATGTGCGAGGCATGCAAACTTGTCTTTAGCTATACAAATTGCTTACAGCTAATACTGAGGGCAGCACCAGATTCACATGGCGCTATAAGTTTGCCCTTGTGCAAGTGATCTCTGAGCTCTTCCTAGAAAGGTAAAAATTCTGTTGAGTGTATTAATTAAATACATCTATGATGACAAACTAAGCCTGTTGTTTAACACGTGGATGTCACTATGGGCAAAAATTACAATGGCAAGTGAATCATCTCTAAATTATTGGTGTAAACAGAGTGCAGTCTGTAGGGTATGTGCAAGTATGCATACAATGTTATTAGATGCAGGTTTTGGTTATATAACATCTGGACAACCTATATATATATATATAATGACATCAGGTGGCTATGGCCAAAAGGACTTATTCAATGCAAATTTGAATAATAGTTTTGATAATCAGGCTATATGTGTATCGTCAGATATCTGTTGAGCAGTGCTTGAAAATTCCTATATGGCATATTGGAATAGGCACTCAAATGGATTATTACTTAGGCTATTAACTATTTCAGATATGGCATATTGATCCATATTTCTTATCTACATAACTGTTCCTATTGACTCTTTTTTTTAAAAAAAGCATTCAGTGCAAATCTAACATGCAGCATTTTGCTGTGGTACTGTTAAAATAATTGCAAATTTTGGATCAGATCCAGATCATGATTATAATTGTATATACACTTACATCAAAGTAACTGAGTTTGGTGTGACTTACTTCTGAGTAAATGTGTAGGATTGTGCTGTAAGTTACCTTATGACTCATTGATTTCAGTAAGTGATATGTTCATTTAATTTAATCTGGATCCAACCCACTGGGTTTGTTCTCCATTTATTGCATGGTTCTGTCAAAGTTCTCCCCACCAACTTGGATTGCATAGAGACTTTTACTAAACATTATCTATCCTCAAAGAAATGGTTGCCTGTCTGCTGTGCACAAATATACCGTGTTCTTTGCTGTAACATTTTCAGTTGAAGTAAGGATTCCTAATCACAGCATTTTTTATGTGGGCTTGCCAGCAGAGAGTACATCTTATGCCATTAACGTTATGCTTTTTGAGATAGTGTATCAGCTTTTATCTTACATACATCTTGATTAATGACCGTTTGCTTTGTCTTTAGTGCTGTAGAGGCAGCCTTTTCTTATTTGGGGTTTTTATGCATAAGGGCTTTTAAAAACAAAAAGGGCTGCAACCTATGAGAAGCTAAGTACACAGAGTAGGAAAGTGCCCCGAAGGACCACTACCCAACTCGCCTAGCTGTAGCGTAGAGTTTATATAGCTGCAAACGTTCTTTGCCTTAGCAATGATGCTTCACTAGCAAATGGCCTTACAGTGAACACATCTGCATACTTACAATATACTGTTTGCCTAAGATTAATCCCAGGTGGCATTTCATTGGATTGCATTGGTTTTGGTTTTGTATGATTTATGTACTGAAACTGAGTTTTTAAAGCTTTACTTCTTTTTTTTAAATAGAAGCAAAATGTTATGGGATGTATGGATGTGTGTATATGTATGTATGGGTGTATATATAGATGAGATGTATGTGCATATATGTACACTCACACAAAAGTAAACATCTGAAATATAATACAAGTTTATGTTTACGGAAAATCCTTTTGATAGCAACATACAGGGGTGCTGTTCTGGAAAAAAAAAGATGCTCAGCTGCATCTGTGCTTGGTCATATCCACTGAAAAAAATCCATTGGATCCCTCCAGTGGGGATCTTGTGCTCCTGCTGGATTGGTTAGTTTACCAGAACTAGCTCATGTGGCAGGTTCTGATCAGGTGTATTGACTTTTTTTGTGTGAACAAATATTCACCACCATCACAACAAATATTTTTATTTGCTAAGCAGTAAATTCAAATCAGCAGGGAGACAGACAACATCTTAGTTGGCACATGGATCAATCTGTACTGTGGAAATTTAATGACAACAGCAATAAATGTCAATCAATTTCCCTTTTTTTAAAAGAAATGTTTTTAAATGCAACTTTTATGGAAGGGTTTTGTCCTATTAGCACTGATGAATGTTCTTATAGGGAATGTATTGTAGATCTACAGTCATTGCTCTTTGGAACTGGTTTTCATGAAATGTTAAAATATGTAATTACACACTGAAGAAAAAATAAGGTGAACCAGAATGTA